TGCGTTCAGCTCAAAATGATCAGAAACAGAACAAGACTGCTCGTATCAGGGCGAAGCCCTGAATGTTCCGACTGCCTTTTAATGTTTATGGAGCAGTAATAACCTATAAAAAAATTAAATATAATAAAGTAAAATGAAAATTTGAATTTTTTTATGAAAACCATCCCCCCACAGCTCAAAATGACCAGAAACAGAACAAGACTGCTCGTATCAGGGCGAAGCTCTGAATGGTCCGACTGCCTTTTAATGTTTATGGAGCAGTAATAACCTATAAAAAATTAAGTAATAAAGTAAAATGAAAATTTGAAATTTTTTATGAAAACCATCCCCCCACAGCTCAAAATGACCAGAAACAGAACAAGACTGCTCGTATCAGGGCAAAGCCCTGAATGTTCCAACTGCCTTTTAATGTTTATTGAGCAGTAATAACCTATAAAAAATTAAATGTAATAAAGTAAAATGAAAATTTGAAATTTTTTATGAAAATCATCCCCCACAGCTCAAAATGACCAGAAACAGAACAAGACTGCTCGTATTAGGGCGAAGCCCTGAATGTTCCGACTGCCTTTTAATGTTTATGGAGCAGTAATAACCTATAAAAAATCAAATGTAATAAAGTAAAATGAAAATTTGAAATTTTTTATGAAAATCAATTATGGCAAATAAGATTAAATCTCCGCTTACGCGTTAATAGCGCGAAATATATCGCGCGTTAATTGTCCCAAATTGGCCAAAATGGCAATCTTTAAACCCCCATAACTTTACGAAAAATGATCACAGGTAAAATATTTTTTCAAATTTAAGCTCAGGACAACAAAACCTTTTGAATGATATCAAAAATTCCGTCAATAGTGGCTAGTTGAAAAGTCGAAATTTGTCTGAAGAAAAAAAACCACCACGAGCACAAATATTCCGTTACTTTCGTATCGAAAGTCTGAACAATAAAAGCTCGGGTCGAATTGTGATAAGACCGATTCGACCCAAAAAAAGTTTTGATTCGAAGCATTCCACCAAAACAACCTAAGACTAGTTTGGTTTAATGTAAAGAAAAAACTGCCTTGTGATTTAAAAAGCATTGTGATTTGAGATATAGAGTCTACGTTTTTACAAGTAGATTACTTTTATAAACAATTTATCCCACCGCCGTGTGGCAACTTCATTTTTTTGTTCTATACATACCCATTCATTTTTTTGAATATAAAAGTTCAAATTGTGTATTTATAGCATAGATCTATTTATACTCTTGATATGTGCTCTATCAAAAATTGTAATCGAAGATTCTCAAGTTGACTATTAAAGATGAAATCTTGTCTAATTAGTGCGCTTCATACCTCCGTCAGCGGCAGTATCAAATTAGATACTTTGTCTCGCGGGAGGAGGAATATGTTGGCGTTCCGGATGAAAGAATTTAAGGTCGTTCTTCTATTTTTTGAGATGATGACAATCATTAATTTCAACATATTTTTTTCGTGGAAAATCATTCGAAGATAACGTTTTGAGAGGGAAGCGCGCTCCAAAAAACGCTATTTTTGGTCAAACACTTCTAAAAAGTGCCCATTAACGTCACTTCTGTCCTATTTTTCTCTCCAGAAAACTACCAGAAAAAGGTATTCACAGGGAGTTGGGAAAGCTCGGAAAATAATTTTGATCGGTCTAAAAAAGTAAAAATGTTCCAACTTTTTTTGAAAATCCTCTCATAAGTCGGGGAAAATCCTAGATTGGGAGAATTCCCGGGAAAATCCAAGATCCGCGCCTGGAAGATCTTTATTTGGTCTAATTAGGGAGGAATTTTTTTAAACTTTGTCCCAGTCATTCACCCGTCGCAATGTAATTTTTTGAACTTATCGAAACCACTACATTTGGGTCGACCTGTTTGAGACAAAATAACATTGAGTGAACTGTGCTACATTTTCCCACAGAAAATCTCTTGTCGTCTGAACAAGCTCTAGTAGAAAGGAGAAGCTAAACTTTATGGTTCCAAAGTTTAAAATGGTCACAATTAGTGATATTTTTGTGGCCGCTGTTGAAAGGGAAACTTTTCTTCATAATTAAAACTTATCAAAGCTCAAACGCAGATATAGGATTTTTGCGGAGATATGCTTCTAATTTCCTGGTGGGAAATGTTCAAAAGTTTTTATCAAAACTTTGGGCATTGCACTCAAACAGCAACCTGTATGAACAGCAGTTTGTGCCTTAAGTCGCATCTGGTATTTTGTAACGTCCTATTTTTTGTTGAAAAGTTCACCTTGTTTGTCTCAAATATTGACCTCTCCTGATATTACTTTTACTCTTCTTTCTTCATTTCTTCCTTATCATCTCTTATGCAATTTCCGTTTCTGCTTGAAGTGAAGTTTATTTTGTTAGCGGTCCTACGTCATGTGTGTTATTATCAATTCAATGTAAATTTATTTTCATCAAAGATTTTTCTTTGTTGTTCGACTAAAAGATCTTTTACTAACTGACATTGCTTTTTTTATTGTAGCGGTAAGCGGTCAAAAAGTGCGTATTCTGGTCGTGAAGGGCACGTATTCTTTTTTCAAGTTAATCAGTCTGAGGCTTAACCCAGTGGCCTCAACGCCACATATTTAGAAGCGTATGGTATAATTTTAGAGCTCGTTGTTGAGTTGGTTAAGTCAATCAGTCGCTGACGATTGAAATTTTTTTAAGATAAGCATCCTATTAGGCGAAATCAGATTGCCTAATAGGATTCTTTAAAAATCTTTATTATTTGCCTTTGTCTATCAGTATTTACGCTTGCAATTACTACGCTTGCGATTAGCAAGCGTTATCTAATCGGAATGTACACTTTGTTTCCGGTTAGAAACTAGTTTAACAAAATCACTGAATTAACTGTGCAGCAACTTGAAATTTCAAATTTAATTACTGAGTAAGAAAAATAGTAAACGGTTTAGGGACTGCGCTTTAATCCGGCCAGCGCCAGTTGTTTTCTAAAGCTAAACTATTTAGTATCAAAAAATGATTGGCCTATGGGTTGTCTACTTATGGTTTGGCAGCTTCGTTGCCACATTTTTGTACTTTCTTGTTTTGTGTGATATTTTTATTGAAATTAAAAGTGTTTTTGATTCTTTGATGTAATTTGTAATTTCTGCACTTGCGATAGCGAGTGTCTTGTAATCGGTAGCTTAAATTTTTCCCCGTAAATAACTTGAAAATGATGTTGCTTTATGATCGAACCATCGCAACTTCAAGACCCCATTGCAGCTGATCTAGAGATAATGCAGTTGTCTTTGAAGCCTACTGTCAAGGGTTGAGTCCCGGCCGGGTTTTTTTTGTGTCTTTAATTGAGTTTTTTCCGGGAAAATTGATTTGTCAGATTATAGTTTGTCGGCTTATGTTTTGTCGGCTTAGTTGCCATTCCACAGTTTGTTTGCGCTGTAATCAATTCTCATTGTAATCTCAAGTTGTTGATTAACTCCTGTAGTTTTTAAAATTACTATACCTGAATGGTTTATTTCAGTTTTTCTTCGCCTAGAAATTTTATTCGGCCCAAATGAATTCAGCTCTTGCTTTGTTGGTTTGGCAAATTTATTTAGCATCGAAATTAGGTTAAAAACTTTTAATTCATGTTGTCATTAAATCAAGTCGGCTGGTAGTAAAAAAAAAATAAACATTGAAACTTTTTAAATGCTCAAAAATTTTTATAACAACCATTTACTTTTGTATTTTTGTTTTCAGATCAATTGGCGTCTAACCACGTGTTTTGACTTAGTGGACGCTCAAAAAATGTTGAAGCTTGCATAATGTTAGTTGTATTTCTCCTCTGTTTTTCTATTATTGAGTTTTTCGAATTTGCTAAAAAAAATGTTGAATTTTTGTATGACAACTATTGACTTTGGTATGTTTGTTTTCGGACCAACTGACGTCTTATACGTGTTGTGCCTTAGTGGAAGCTTGAAAAGTACTATAATCTTTCTTTTTGCTTTTGGCTGTGTTTCTCGTTGGTTTTTCTGATTTAGAATTCTTCGTACTTAACAAATTGTTGAATGTTTTTTTTTTTGCCTAATGTTAGTTGTGTTTCTCTGTTTTTCTAATATTGATTTTTTCGAATTTCCTTTGGTATGTTTGTTTTGGGATCAGGTGACGTCTGTTACGTGTTGTGGCTTAGTTGACGCTCGAAAAATACTTTAAATTTGCCTAATGCTAATTGTTGTGTTTTTCGTCTGTTTTTCTGAGATCGAATTTTTCCCATTTTCAAAAAAAATGTTGATTTTTAATGACATTTTTTTTCGGCGTTTTTGTTTCCAGATCGGTTGGCTTCTATTTACGCATTCATGGCTTATTAGGCGCTCGGAATGGCTTACTATCTTGCTTATTGCTATAGGTTGTGTTTCTCGTCTGTTTTTCTGTGATAGAATTTTTCGTAATTCCAGTTTTTCAAGTTTTTTTTTCACTTAGTTATTTCCATTTCACTGACAATGATTTATTAGCTTGCAATGGTGTTATGGCTTAGTGAACGCTCGAAAAGTACTGAAAGCTTGCATATGTTTCTCGTTAGTTTTTCTGAGATTGAATTTGTTGTATTTAAAAAAAGTTAATGATTTTTGACAATTTTCTTTGGCGTTTTTGTTTTCGGATCAATTTGCGTATAACTACGTGTTGTTGGCTTAGTGGACGCTCGGAAAATACTAAAAGGTTGCTTATTGGTAGTGGTTATGTTTCTCGTCTGTTTTTCTGTGATTGAATTTTTCATATTTCCAATATTTTGCTGGCCAAGCAGTAGCTTGCAATTGTACGCTTTCGTATCTCAAATGATGTGTAGCCCCGCTTCGTTTCTATGTCTGGATATGTATCGCCTAAATCGTTGATATTTTTGTTTGCGTTTGAAAATGTGCCTCCCATTTTGCCCGCTTTTGATGAATGAATTTCTCGATAGATTGTGGTATAAACTACAAAAGCAGTTAAATATGGCAGTATTGTAGTTTTTGATCAAACCAATGAAATCTAGTTCTGTATAAGATGTTTGTTTGTGAATTTTTAAGATAAAAGTTTGAGGTGACTTCAGAATTAACAGCGCCGACACAATGGACGAAACTTCGGATTCACATGCAAACAATAATCATTCGAATGTTCCGAACGGCAACTGTAGCTCCTCTTCGTCTTTATGTGAGTCATGCAGTCGTGATTTGGCCGGAGACAGACATGTTCAGGTAAAGTTCATGTACAATAAGTTCTAAATGTATTCAGTTCCCCCCAGGGTCCCCAATTAAGCCACTGTTGTAACGTTTCGACTATTTTACGCGCAGAAAGACAGGCTGAGTTTCTGTGTGGGCTGCTACGAGGAGAGATATGCGAACACGTGCTACAGTTGCAGCCACAAAATCAGAACAGATTCAAAGGTAACTGATGATGGTACTTCATTCTATTTTGCAGCAGTTTTTTATCTGGTTGTTTTTGGTGCGGATAAATTAATGCTTTTTGTCACACTATCTTGTACAAAGATGTATGATACATTGGGTTATTCACTTTTTTATTATTTTTTCTTCGCGAAATTTTTAGAGACGAATTTAAGTTTTCAAATTATGTGCCGAATGAAATTTTCGAATTTCAGGATGTGTCGTTTTCATGATTCGTAAGTAGAAGAAACTAATAAATCTTTCCTTAATTCTGTATGGAATTATTGTAACACTGGTTAGAACATTTTTCATGTCTATCTCTTTAACAAGCATCTTTCTAATGGAATTTTTAATTAACATCAAAATGTGCGCAAATTTTTTATTCATTGGATTTGAGTAACAAACAGGAGTTAACGTTGAGAACTTGGTTTTCTGCTTTTGAAAAAGACTTTCGAAATATCCTTCCAAAGGATCGTGTGAATTTTTACGTTTCATTGGCGTGCTTGAAGCCCTTGGAAAAACACCTTCTTTCAACTTAACTAATACAACTAGCCACTTTTGTATGTTTCCAGGATCTGGCGTACCAAAACAAACACTGGCACGAGCGTTGTTTTCTCTGTGCCCACTGCAGTGTGCCTCTCATAGACAAACTGTTCGGATCCAACGAAGACAAATTGTACTGCGAAGTGTGCTATGAAGAACTATTTGGTCTGAAGTGTGACGCTTGTGCGAAGCCGTTCAAAGCCGGTAATATCAATTGTTTCGACCACTGAAAATGGAAATTAACTTTGCATTCTGCTGTCTTATGTTCGTTGTCGAGGAAAATTGGTTTGAACGTTTTTGGGTTCATTAGACTTCAATCATTGTGACTTTGGGTAGAGTTTCCTGACTTAAATCCTTGATGAAACTATATGCAAATTCTAACTCTTCTATTATACCAGCCTTGTTCTTTTTTATCCAACCTAAGTCGCGCGTTTTCGTTTTCACTTTCTGTGATGATTTTTTTTGTTTCGACTTCCGAAGAAAGTGAGGAATTTATATGCTCGGGGTATTTTTTATACTGACCTATTTGTATAAAACTCTGGTCCCTCGACAGATCAATCTCTTTATCTGCATGGGCCCAACTGGTTGTGCACACCACTATTGTTTTCTACTTAGAGTCTGACTAAACTGCTCGTTTCATATTTTACCCTTGGCGAATTATCCGCACTAGAAAGTTCTCCAAATTGCATCTAGGCAGCTTATTGGTTTTATTAATTCCATACACGACTCAAATTTTGATATTATCTGCTTATATTCATAGCTTTGTCAATATTTAATTTAACAAAAACTATTAGAGACCGTTTGAGACTGTAATATACGGGACACATATCGCTTTGTATTAACATACTGTGTGGGGGAGCGTTTTCTTAAAAAATCAAGTTGTGAAATCAGAGGAACACTCGTTTTGCTTTAGCATTTTCTGCGATATTTTTTGCGTTTGCTTGCAAAGTGAAACCTCACTACTGTGTAATTAATAGATTTTTTTGATTGTTTTTTAACTGTGTAAACTCACATTTGCTCACCGCATCTCGGCCCCCACTATTAGAAAAAAACACAAAGAATAAGATTTTCTAATGAGTTTTTAAGTTTTTGTCTCTTTGTCTTGACACAAGCAACACTTCTGTAATAATATCAATTCAATTTTGTTCCCATGTAGCTCGCTTGTTGCATTTTTGTGTTCATTGTTTTTATCCGTGTTGAGCTCAAATACAATTAAGTAATTTATTGGCATATGTTTCATCCGTTTAAATAAGCGCATTCATTATTACCTGGTAATTATTATTCAAGTATGAACAAAGTCTGTAATTCGTTAGGTTTCGGAGTAAGTATACTTTAGTGGACTGTCTAAGTTTTCGTATGTCACCTAGAATGTTTCTCCAAGATAATTGGCTAGATTTGCCGCTGTGACTAGATCTTTTGCAAGTTTGTTATCTTTTTCGGCTGGTCCTCTGTTCTGTTGACTTTTAATGCTATTTTTTTGATTTCGTTGCTTGTTTCTGCGTTTTACATCATCATTTCTGTGTAATTACACTTGCGAAGCAAATTGTATTAGTACAAAAATTCTTTTTTTCACATTTTTTTTCAGCAAATTGTATTAGTACAAAAATTCTTTTTTTCACATTTTTTTTTGTTTTGTCGCAAATAAAAGTGCTAACTTTGGTGGCACCTTTGAATCGGTAGGCTGCGGTAGCAGTATAATATCATATGTGCTTTGACATTTGAATAGTAAAAAGTTAACACAGCTGATGCATTTTTAATTCATCAAATTTACCGAAAAAAGTTATTTGTTTCAATCAGCAGTACAATGATAAAAAGCTCGATTTCAGAAGTTTTCCAACTCAGTGTACCTTGCAATTTTTTTTTGAAATTCGTTATTTTTGCATAATTTGCCTTTATGCTTTCCAATTTATTATATGCAAAATTGTGTCTTTTTGTATTTGGTGCTACTTTTGGTGCATCGAATTGGCAATTTATTAGCAAACGTAGCTGCGTTATTGGTGGCTAGTTTTGCGGGATTTCAAGCATCCGTGACTGAGTGGTTAATGCGTGAGACTTAAGTTTGCTAGGTCGCAGATTCGAATCCGACACAAAGCCGAGTTTTTCTAATTCGAGGCTTATTTCTAGTTTCTCTTCACTTGTTAGAGCTGTTTTTTGGCCGTGTTCTGGCACGTGTTTGCAAAACCCAGCTTCGCCTCTGTGTGATTTTTGTGAAGGTAGTTGTGATCGAAATACTCTGGCTGGCTTGCGCGCTCATTAAGTGGCCGTTGTTTTTCAATTTTGGTGAAAAAAAAATCGGCAGTTTTAATTGATTCAAAAGATTTGTTTAGTGAAGGTGATTATGAACTAATGTGAATAATAAATGAGCGCTCGTGCTGATCAATTTCCGATTTAATAGATTCGGAGAATTTTTAATTAGTTCATGCAACTTTTGGCATGGAACAGTTACATCATTTAGCTCGGAAAAGTACAATGTAAGGGTAAAGATTGTGAGTTCAAACTCGATTTTAAAGTAGATTATATGCTAGAAATCTTTAAATTAATTTCTGGTATTTTAAATGCAGAGCTCAAATAGTGCGTGTACATAATCAAACTCTAAGGACGCCCATAAACCTAGTGGCTTGCAACGAGCAGTGTCGTAAAATTTTATAATTAGTTAAATTAAGTACCCGGTTCAGAGGTAAAAATGATAAGTAAAAAAGATTCATTAAAATTTTGTTATCTTTGAAATAGATTTTTTTCATTTTTTCAATCCATACTAAAATTTCATTTTAGAGAAATCTTGGCATTTTTTTGGTGAAAAAATTTTTTATTTAAAAAGAAGTTGACATCATGTTTTTGTGATAGTAAAAGACTTACTCAGTAAATTCGTCTGATGTTTCAAAAGCGGAAATAGTTTTTTGCCCTACTTTTTGTAAAGACTGTTGGGTTGGACTCGCAAGATTTCATAACAGTTCCTTTTGGTGACAGGTTGCACTGATGTAAAACAGTTTCCTTGTATATTGCAACATATAAAAGTTGTAAACAGTGTATATTTTGTTTGTATTAAATTAATTTGTGACATAATCCATTATTTTTTTGAAGAATTGTTGTAGAATGAGCTGCTGGAATATCAAGATTCTATTAAGGTTACATTTATTGACCGTCCCTATACAATTTTTCTATAGGAAGTTACTGGTTGAGCCTATGAATTATAGAACAGTAATGACTTGGTTGAGAAAAAGTTTGTTGCGCTGAAGAGTATACCGTTAAATTGTTTCAATCGTTTGCAAATTACGTCAAAATTGCAAGTAATTTGAAATTTTTCATCAATTATTATCTCCATTTATTTGAATTGCTTTGTTTGGTCTATTGTACCAGCCCCCATTGAAATTTCAAATTTTTTTATCAGTCCCAAAATTATCTGAATGAGGACTCTCAATAAGGAAAATTTGATTTTTTTTTCAAATATCAAGTTAAAACTTGCTCAAAAGTGGCAGAATGTCAAAAAATGGGAAATTTAGTTAATTGTTTTTTTTTGTTCTGTAAAGGTGGTAAGAAGTTGGAGTGGAATGGCCAGCAGTGGCATGAGGAGTGTTTCCAGTGCACCAATTGCACCACTGTGATTGGCTGCAGCTCCTTCCTCCCCAAAGACACCAGTCCCTACTGTGTGCCCTGCTTCAACAAACTATTCGCTCCCAAGTGCTCCAACTGCTCTAAGGTAGTAAACTTATTTCCTTACACAATACGCTCATTTTATCTTGTGTTAAGCTTTTCATAAGTTTTTCTTATATGCTTGGGTTTCCTGTATATAGCAAAAAATTGGTTCGAACCTGAGTAACCAAAGTAGTAGTCACAATTTGGATTTTTCGTTATCAACCGTGCTTTTGATTAATTTTTGGATTTTCATTTAAAATTCAAACTGATCCGTTTTGCGAGTTTCTTGGTACTGGCTTACGAGTTTTGCATTTTGGGCAGTCTTGCTCGAAACTTTTGGTTACCTATTATAAAATTTACCGAATTGGACAAAAGTTACTCTTACAGCTTTTAAGTTTTCAACGACGATCCGAACCAATTCCAGGCCAAACACGGCGAATCGGATCGAAAAGTGTTTCATTGCATTCTATTTTTTCTAAAAATTCTTTGAATGCGTAAGTGTGCTACTTGTACATGATTAAAGTTCAGTCTCTTTCACTTTAGGCCATAATGACTGGTGGAATCATTTATAAGAATGAGCCCTACCACAAAGAGTGCTTCCACTGCCACAACTGCAACAAGAAGCTAGACAAGGAGAAGTTCACTTCGAGAGACGACCAGCCATATTGTACTGAGTGCTTTGCTGAGTTGTTCTCCAGAAGGTGTACACATTGTAACAAACCAATCACGGGTTGGTAAAGATAGTTTCAAACCTGGAAAAGTTACAATCGCGTACCTTATAGGGGTTTTTTATTTGGTAGGATTTAAGTGCTATTTATTGATGGCGATGTTATAGAAACGACTAAATGCTTAGCTGATTTGTCTAATGTATCCAACGTCTAAAGTCCTGTATATCAGAAGCAAGATAACACATTCATATGTTAAATTGTGTTGGTTCAATAAAACGAAGCAATCGGTGGAAAATGTAAATAATTCAAAACTTGCTTAGTTTTTTTTCCGGAAATGAATCCAATCCGTCTTAGGTCCAGCAGGCACAAAGTTGATCTCTTTCGGGGGTCGGTTTTGGCACAATGAGTGCTTCAACTGCAGTTGCTCTTCTTGTGGAAACACCAATCTGGTCGGCAAGGGTTTCGTCATGGACCAACAGGACATACTATGTCCAGACTGTGGGAAACTTCCATTTCAAAAACGAAAAACAAACACCAATAATAATAACGAAAACAATGTTGACAACAAAAATAGTAACCTTGGACGAAAGAAAGCAGACAATGGAAATGCGAATACTGGAAACGGTTTACAAGAGATCTCGTCTGTGAACAAAACTCCATAATTATTTCTATGAGTTTGTATAAAAGTTTTTTGGCCATCCTATTTTTGTTACTTGTTTTATGCTTTGAATACTGTATTGGATCAGAATTTACTTAAATTTGATAAAATTTTTGAGTTAGTCACCACTTGTTATCATTGAATTAGTCACCATTAGATACCAGATATGCTTACGTTGTTATTTGAATACAACTTTCATTGGACAAAAATGAGTTTTTGTTGTCGTTTTTTGTATAATAATATTTTAAAAACTTGAATGAAGTAAGTTCTCAGCTAAGTTCCTAAAACCGCTTCCTATCAACAAATATTTATTCTCTAAGTCAGGAACAAGATTTAGAATCAGTTGCTGTTTACTGGAAAATTGATCAGAAGAAAGTAATTAGTAACAGCAAGCTTATGCTTTCGATAAGAATTCCTCCATTTTTTCAAGATAGAATGTCAATCAAGAATTGACGTCTTAACTACCTTTCACACCGTAAAATTTCTCTCACAAAATTTTTTCAGTACAACTTGCTTGGAACTAATGTTGTTTTAGAAGTGTTCTTATGCCATTTGAGGCGTAATCATTTTTCATTTATTTAGGTCGCTAAGTTTTTTCTCAGGAAGTCTTAAACTTTTCTCACTCAGATTTAGCTTCCGCATTTAAAGCTCACTCGCAAACTAGTTTGCGAAATGAAATGCAAAACACGCTCTCCAAAAACGCGTCGAAATGGCCGATAAACTGGAGATTCGAAAGAATAAAGCTTAACCTTTTGATCCAGTTTTCTCCATTAAGTAAAAATACTGATTTCAGTGTTGTTAAAAAAAGGTTTGTTGAAATATTTTTGTGAATTGGAAAAAAAAATAGGAAAATTGGAAAATTTTTGTGAATTGGGATGGAAATATTTTTGAGAATTGGATTTTTGTAAATTAGAAAAATTTACAAAAAAAATTTTTCAATCAAATCTTTTTGTGAATTTAAAATTTGATTTGAAAAAAATATCAGCATATATCGCTTTACAGATCAATTCAGAGTAAAAAGTTGATAGCGTCAAAGAAGAGCCTGAGATATGATAACGAGGTACTTATGTTCCTAACGATAAAACTTACTCAAAAACAATGTTTTTCAACGGTATTTGATTACAGAGGTTACTTTTTACGGAACTCTGAGCACTACTTGTACAGCAACAATGTTTTTGGACCTGATCAATTTTTTTTGCAACGGTGCTAGGAATTTGAAATTTAAGTTCAAAAAATTTGAAAGAAGTAGGTGTATATTGTATACTTTAAAAATAATCACATTTCTGCACGTTTGTGAATTAAATTGACTACAATAACTGCTTTTTTACTTTTAAGAATAACTTTGTTTCTTCGTAGTTTTTCCATGAGCATCATTTATGCCTTTAACGTAAGGCGGGTGGATTTTGGTTGTCTTTTTAAAATTTCCAGACTAGGTTTTTGGTATGTTCTAGCAAATATGTTGCTCTCAGAACTCGAAAGACTTAGCAAACTCTCATGTCACTTGCGCGCTTTCGGCGAAACCAGTTTTCACCAGGCAAGGGTTTTTAATTATACGGTTTTAATTGAGTACGAAATTAATCTTGGTTTCTGAATTTGAAGCATTTTTATTTGTAAATCAATTAAACTTTAAATTTATTAACCAAAACAGGAAAATTAACAAAATATAGTTTGAAATCAAATTCAATGTAGAAACCGCCGGTTTGAGCAAACAATTCCAACGTTTTCAAACTTTACTTTTATTGTATTTTCTGCATATAAAAGCAAAACTTATCAAGATTTGTGCTTTTGTTTTTAAAGTCGCTTTCAAAGTCGCAGAAAATCAGATTGCGATTATCGGACATTGAAATCGGCTGTTCCGTCGGTTCTACACTAGTGGACAAAATAAAGCGCAAATTCATGTTTTTATTCTCTAATTTGCCTGTTTTCAATGTTCATTTTGGACAACATTTACTTCAACAAATTTTTTACATAGACCATGAGCAAATCATCAGCTATAATCTATGAAAACATCAAAATTTGATTTCAAAAACTTACAATTGTAATCAGGGTCTGAAAATGGCAGATTTTTTCATCTGCACTAAGTTTTGCTTCGTTTGTGAATTCTTTTTTGAATAAGCAGAATAAAAAAAATTGTTCATGCGACGTTAAACATTCTCAGCGAGAAAATTCAAATAAACAGTGCGAAACTTTTATTGAACTCGACTGTTTCTTACTTACTCACGCTGATTAAAAACTTAGCGTTTATGAAGAAATCTGCCATTTTCAGACCCAGAATACATTGGTAAGTCTTTGAAATCAAATATTGATACTTTCATAGGGGGGTTTCTGATGATTTGCTGATGGTCTTTGTAAAAATTTTGCTGAAAAACGAAGTAAATGTTGTCCAGAACGGACATTGAAATTAGGCATTTAAGAGAGTGAAAAGGTGATTTTGTGCTTAGTTTTCCGCTAGTGTATTAAAGAATTACTTCGTAACTTGAATTATGCAATGAAGAAAGTTGTAAATCATAGAAACTGTTCTTAAGCCTAATGTGCTCAGTGCGGTCCCTTGATAGATTAAAAACAGTTAGTTTTTGCTTTCTTGAACTAAGTTTTCAGACTCAGATGGAGCCTTTTTATTTTGTCGAGATAGTACACAGCTCTCGGGTAAGGTCACGACTTTGAATTCTAGTCGTATACTCGCGAACTCATAACCGAGTGATAAAATAAACAAGAAAGTGCTAATCGTGCAGATCCATTCTGAACTCGTTGTTACGTAATACAAAGTTTCGTTGTCGTAAGGTCTATAGGTTTCGTTATAAGGCGGGTATTGATGTCCAGTGAATTCAGAGCAACCTGCAGCAACAAAAAATACACCTAGACAAATTACCCCAATTGTGATTCGAATGCCCAACATCCATTTAAAACCAAAAACTTCATTCTTTATCAACGCATAAGTCAAGTATGATTGAAGTATAATGTACAAAGAAGAAAAAATGAATGTAATAAAAGCGCCTGTGAAGTGAAGCGCAGTTGCACTTGACTCTGAAAAATTGGCGACAATTCCAAGTCCAAAACTGGCAATAACGCCAAGTACTGTAGACGCAATGTTAATATTTCTAACTTTTTTTCTCTTGTGAGTAAGATGGTGTTTTATTTCCAAGAACCGAATTAAAATTGTGATGACAAATATAAATGAAACGGTGCTGAAAAAGAAGGCGAACCAGCAGCTGGCGGGCGGGACGTCTCCGGCGTCGCTAATGAATGCCAAGTCGGTATACAACAGGTAATCTCGAACATAAGAAATAGTGTAAGCCACAAACAAGGCCATACCTGCCAGATAAAATACCAAAAATGGAAGCCACGCAAGGCCCAAACTGGCCATACATTCTGTTGTCATTTTCCAAAATGTTCTCAAATTGGTTTGAGATAATTTAAAAATGCCACTCGTAAACTCCAATAGTGTAGCTTCTCAAGTATCTGAATAGAACTGCATTTGTAGCTAAGAGAAGTTTCAGTGTAATCAACATAAGTTAAGAACTAGTTTTCTCCCATGGAAATATGTTTAAACATACTTTTCTAATTACACATAAAATATTATGGAGTATACCTCTTTCAAAGCATTGATCTTGAGATGGTAAACACTTGTGTGAAAAAACTTGACTTTCAAACTTAAGTCAAGAAACCATTTAAGCTCAGGAAAATTAAAAAGGCGTGCATTAATGAAGTTGATTTTGTAGCAAGCTTTAAAAATAGTTTTAAAACTATCATTTCGTTTTCGTTTTTTTTTTCAAATGAAATACGCATAATGTGGATAAAACATTTTCTAGCAACAAAGAACTTTTTGACGTAATAATCTACATAGGACCTATTTTTTATTTGGTCGACAAGTTAATAACCAATTAATCATGGTTAAAACTTTTGTCGGACGACTGGGTTTAGCATGGCTTTCTGTTTTGGCAGCGTGGTTCGGCGGAATGGTTTTACTTCTGTCGTACACCATTTCAAAGTCCAAAGGCAACCTCCACTATACCAAGTTAGCTTACATAAGCGATGCCGGAACCATACCTCCAGCAAGCTGTTGGTTCGCTTTATTTTTCAGTTCTTTATCTTTTTGTTTTGTCGTCACGATTTATTTCCGATTTCTTCAACTTCAAGATCTTTTAGTACATAGTAAAAAATCGAGTCGATGTGCAAATTATGCGTCGAAAGTTATTGGTTTTTTATCCAGTTTTGGTCTGTTGGTGGTTGCTAACTTCCAGGTACTCGTTCAAAAAAGTTTCTTTTCAAAAATATCAAAAAAGACCTATTTTTACCTCAAATACCCACAATTTGCGCATTTTGATTCATCGAAAAAGCACCTAATAAAAAGAACAAAAAAGAAAAATGACTTAAATCTAAATTCTTGTTTGATAAAAACAGGTATGATGAAAAAGTATGGGATTTGTTTTTTTTGAGACGCTTTGGGAAAATATTTAAAAAAGTGGTACCAATGGAAAAAAAACCGCTCGCTCCCCTGCGTGCCTGAATATTAATTTAGGTATTTTCTACCATGTCTCTTTTTCTACAGCCCTCAAAAAATTGTATGGGCAATAATATACCAAAATTTTGAATTTTTTTAGTTTCTCGAAAATGACCTTCCAAAGTCAAACTTTTTACTTTTTGTCAAACTTTTTTACTTTTTGTCAAACTTTTTTTAACTTTTTTTTTTCAAATGTTTCTCAAAAATTACCCTCCCAAATCCGTGATTTTAGTTTTAAAAAAAAACAGTTTGTGCGAAGCTCCACTGACTAAAACGCTACGCACAAATTTTTCTTCACAAAAAGTTATGGCCCTCGGAAAAGTTAAATTATGATTTTTTGACCGTTCTTTGAAATTTTTTGACTTGTTTCAAAAATTACTATCCTAAATCTAAAATTTTGATTTCACTTAAAAAAACCTGACCGAAACTACCATGTTAGGCTACGCCCTAAAGTTTGCACGAAAAACTTCATCTGTTTGGGAAAATTTTATAAGAGAAACAACTAAGCCCAATTTTTGAGTTTTTGAAACCACCTATTTCATCCCGCATCAGTACAAAAATCAAATTTTGTCAAACAAGTGTGTCCAGTTTTAGTTGGGCCCCTATTCCTGAAATGACATTTTTCGAAGAAATAGTCTACGTTCCAGTCAAAAACAATGAGGTCGTAAAATCACACGTTCGTCAAATATTTC